AGGCACCTCTATTCATCTATTAATAGAAATTAATGGGAACACCTAAAACATAAATACCTGAATGCCAGTAATTTTGCATCAGATTTTACACGCAAAAAATATTTAAATTAACACGAATGGGTAACAACAAACGAGTTTTAAATTAACAATTTACCAATGGAGCTCAAATACTTCAAATTAAGTATCTACTATATATCCATTTAAACCATAAACTATAAAGTACAAATAATACGCTTATATTTAATATATACGTAATGTAATTACGTTAAAACGTCCTAAAATTCAAAAATACACGCTTTTAGTCCCAGTAATTTTATTTACCAGTAAATATACACTATTATTTGCAAATTTAAAACCATTTTAACACATAGCAATTAGTAATTACTAATTAGTTATATAAATAAGAAGCAAAATACGATAGGAAAAGTTGCAAAACAATTGATGCCTTAATTTACATAATATAATATGGTATATAATGCATAAATGCATGATATATGTGTGTATAGGTTACGCAAAAATATTGAGTTAATGCTTAGTATAATGATGTATTGTCGTATTTATGTTTACCTTGTATTAATTCGCAATTAAATTTAAAAATTAAAATTGATATAAGATTAATATAAAATTATACTTCACATTCTAAACGTACTATACAACAGAAAGAAGATAATATATTGTCAATTTTTTGAAAAAAATACTTTTATACCTATATTTATTGTTGATTCGTTTTCTGAATTAAAATAAAAATCATTCTAAGTATTAAACAAGCCTTTTAAGCATGTAATGTGTCTGTGATGTGAAATGTAAATATTTTGTCGATAGTAAATACCAGAATTACGTTTAAGAATTTAAAATTAAAAACATTTAATTAATATTTATTTAAGTTCTAAGCATTCATAAAGCCCTTTTGCCTTTGGGTTTAGCGGTTTACCTATATGTATATGATGAGCAGATGAGCTGCAATCGAGATGTTAGTATTTAACCACACAAATAAATAAATAATTCAATACTATTGTAAATTATAATTTATAGTATTAATACAATACTATAGATTTTATAGTATCTACAACTGTAGGTATACCTATGTTACCGGTGGACTCGAGTGTCGTGAATATGTATATTATGATACATTGATATAATTACTTTTTTATTTCATGTTTAATAAAAAATGAAGTATGAAAAATAAAATACTTATTCCACGTACCTACTGTAGGACAAAATGCCAGTATGGGTTTACGTGCCTATTATATTTTGTGATAGGTAGAGGCGTAGAGCCTGTATAGATATACACATTTTTCGAACGTCGAACAAGCTATCGATCGGTTTCCAGCCGCGCATCTGTCACGAAACGTCTGTCGAAAATAATACCGTCTGCGGACCGCCCGACTATTGTAGAATATGTTATGCCGACATTTTCTTTGTGACACTATATAGTTTATAAAATAATAGTTCAAATAATTTAAGCACAGAAGAAGGTTGAGAGTGTACACTGTACTTTGTAAAAGGAATATTGTATACTCATATATGATTTAAACACTCTAAACTATCAGTGGTAATTTATAATAACATGGTATAATTACTAATTGATAGTTGATGTTTATCATAATAAATACTAATTCCATTTACACGGTTTAAAAATCGTTCGTTACTTAAAGATCACTAATAAATTTTATCATTATCGTTAAATGATACACCGTTATCCAACTACAACTAAACCGTAATAAAAATTATTAACACTCATTATTATTCATACAAATTTTGAGTATAAATATTTTAAAAATAATCTTTTTTTTTAAATTTAACCTAACTTAGTAGTTTTAACAATGATTAAGTTTTTAACTTAATCACTATGTCTACTGTTTTATATTATCATCTTATAAATGTACAACATAGATTTTCATTCAGTAAGACCATTTTTTTGTTTTTATCTTAAATATCAGAACGTTGAGCGAATACACTTTATTTTTTAGTAAGTTATGACTTATGAGGATTTTTATATTTTAATATTTTACACATTTGTATAATTGGTTAAAAACTAATAAAATTATAAAAACCAACGAGAGAACACACATAATATTCTTACCTTTAAGTTTAATTATACTTCAATTTACTCTAATGTTTAAACTAACAACACAAAATTGATTTTTCTGAACTCAAATTGTATGTTTTACGTAGGTATGTAACTTGTAAGACGGATATAACACATGGAGTGTGAAGTCATTTTAACGAATTAATTTTTAACTGATTAACGTACATTTTATACGTTACCTACACTTTCACTAAGAAAAACAAAATGGAAACCACTATCGTCAACTTTTAGAGCTGTTAGCATAATGTTATGAGACAGAAGAAAAACAAATCACTAAAAATAGCACCAACTTATATACAAATATACAATAATATTCAAAAAATAATTTTTATGGTTTTTCTTTAAGTTCATTATTTAAAATAAATACACTAAATTTAATGTGATCATTTTTAATTTAGTTCAGAGCTATTCATTCATAATCTTACAGAGGTTTTAATAATTTGAGTATTATTTATTTCATTATCAAATTGCAGCGAGAAAAGTATTTATTTTTTTTAAATAAACTAGTAACTACCTAGTTCAAGTCTTAGTTAATGGTTATCAAAATTAACTAGTTCAAGCTCATAAAATTTATCCAAGACTAAAATATGTTAAGAATAATTTTGTAGTCGGTGGATGCTAGACGATAGTGAATATTACAATAATGTAAAAAATACGAAAATTAAATTCATAAAATTAAGTACATTTAGTACAAGTATTTACTATAATGATATCAATAACAATTTTAAGAAAAATATAGAGAGGTTAGAAAAAAATCCATAATTTATTGTTACATATCTATAACTGCTGTGTGTCTGCATTTTTTAATAAACAATTATAAAAATAATTCTTTAGAAAAATATCCAGTTTTTTTATACGTTTGTACAAGTAAAGCAATATAATATCAATAAATTATTTTATGTTATTAAGTAACTTAAAGATCTTGAGTAGAGCAATGATCATATAGGTTTCACAATAAATTATGTGTTTACTTTATTTTTTTTATCTGAACCATGATTTCTAACTTTTAGAGACGAATCTGATAACAAAGTAGATTTTGTTTGTACTTTTTTTTTAATTATATACATAAATATATAATAATTATGATAAAAGTAAAATTTTACATAAAATCATTTATCAGAAATATCGATTTTGTTTTTGTGTTTAAATTTAGAATGACCGATAAGACATTTTAACTAAATGTTGGTAAATTTATTTTCAAGATGATAAAATTAAAAATATTTTGACTTTATTATACTATGGGCATTTTAAATTTTAGTTTCTAATATTATTAAATTTTGAGTATATAAGTTGATATAATATATCGTCGGTGAAACTGCAATACCTCGTAAGTCCAAAAAAGTCGAAAATAAGATATATACATCAAAATATTCGGAAAAAAATACTCTATACGATTGTTGTGTAAATATCTCGTATATCAAATTTCCAAAGAGGTTATAAATGTCAAACAATATATCGTATGTCATCTATCAAAATTATTGATACTAATATCTCGTATCTCCGTGTCATAATACATCGTATATCAGTTTTTAAAATTTTTGATACTAACATATCGTATCTCATAACAACATGTTATCATAATTAAATTTGTTAATTAATTATTAAGCTTATAACTTTATTAAGCTACTTAGAATTGTGTATTATTATACATATTTATGTTATGTATAAATGTATAATATATGATAATATACCTATAAAAAATAATAAGTGCAATATTTTTGGGAAAATATGTAATATAGGTACTTGAGCATACCTATAAAATATAAATACCTGTGAACATGCATATCATGAATACATTAAGAATACCGTTCAGTTTTAACTAGTTTAAGCTATCAGTAACTAGTGATGTACGTATGTGTAAAAATAATCAAAATCTCCGTCACTTTTGTACGACACCTATTGTTATTTGTTGACGATCTTCCGCAGTAAAGGATACCTACGTTTTAATTTCGAACGTAATAGTGCAACGCTCGTCGCGGCCCAAGGAGTATAGAGTTCAAGGTACCACTCCTATCAGGTTGTGACGTGGGGTGACCCGAATTCTACAGAACTAGCAAAGCATGATCAATGATCATAGATATTATATAATATTATACATGACTCAATGTATGACTGTAGATATGTACTGTCATCGGCTTGTATCAAAAACTCATAAATTTTAGTACTGTGCTTGAAAATATTTGGAACTCTTTATATCACATTAGCGACTTAATGCCCGAAACAAAATATAAATATATTTTGATCAAAAACACATTATTGACACATAGTCACTTTTTAATCTTATTTCAAAAATAATGTAAATAAATAGGTAATTTACATTTATATTTAGGTACCTATTATCCTAAAATAGTACAAAATCACAAAAAGTTAATTACCTACATAACACAAAAATTGCTCGATTGGATTTTGATTTTGAATAATTTATAATAGAAGGGTGTAGGAGTTTTCAATATGATTCTCCATCATAAAAATAAGCTGACGCTGACACCCCACAACTTTTAATTACAAATCAAAAATCATGATTCACGTTCCTATTTTCTAACAATAACAATCACAAATTTTTAATAATGATAATGGCGTTTTATTTTGCATTCCTCGCTATCGAATGATTTGCATTTAGAACTATCGATAGTATGTCATTATTTTTACCGCCGCCAAACGAATACGTTAATCGTTGGTTTACAAATTACAATTATGCGAATAATATCAAATTTGTTGATACTGACTACCCGAGTAAAGTGATAATACTATTATTATAATTAATTATTTAATATATTTTATTGACAGTCGGACGTTAATACCACGATTAAAGATCAATTGGTCTGGCTCTAGAATCTTTGTGTTACAGCGATTTTGAATTTACGATATTATTATCGTATTACTATCGATAGCCAATTTTCGATATCACGAATGATAATATTTAGAAAACAAAATGATTGTTGTGTTGTTCTTGTGAAAAAACGTTAGTTCAATTTGTCGGTTAACTATTTTCTAATATGTGGTCGTCAATACTGTTTTCGTAATTTCATACCGTTTTGCACCTAAATGGGAAACTTTTTATGCAACCATCAACCACACGGTCAGATTTATCGATCTCATTATTGCATCATAATTCAGTGTTAAACGCTGTTGTTTTAGGTGAGTATTCAATAACCGTTGAGCAAATTCATATAAATCACATTCAACTTCAATGTTTTGTTACCTACTAATATGCTAAAATTCATTTGTGATGTTATGTAACACCAAGTGATTAGTCATGTTGATGTTTCCTTAGCGATGAAATTATTGTTCCGCATATGAATATTTTCAGGTTAATTATTCTTTTTGGATAGTTTATAGTTTTCTTCAAAATCTATAGTTTTTCAGAATTTTAATTGTTTATTTTTTTTTATATAAATATAATTCACTTTATGTAGATTTCTGAAGTACTTATTACAAATAACATTGTGTCGAATGTAAATTAAATTGAATTGGTTAATGTATTATCTGTAGCACTCTAGGTATGTACGCATTCCTTTTACTCTTATCTACATCTTTATAATATGATTGTATTATGTACACTACTAATACTTTTAATATACTTATACTTGCCTTTTATATTGTATAACAAGCAATGAAAATATATATTTTGATTATTAACAACTAAGTAACACAGATTAAAATGTCTTATCCTATGTGAATGTTAATCATACATTAATTGTTTGATTATACCAGTGGTTTTTAACCTTTTTAACAATGTAGCACACTTCTTCTTCTACAAAATTTTTGCGGCACACCAATTCGTATAATACGTGAAACATTTATTTTTATATATAATACATACATATATATATATATATACAAAATTAACTCCATCAATAGACTTATGCGGCATACTTCAAAGGCGCTCGCGGTACACTGGTGTGCCGCGACACACCGGTTGAAAACCACTGAATTATACTGTTGGTGTAGTTTGTATACATACCTCAATTAAAATAAAACCATTACCTATGGATGTAAACTGTAAAGATTACTTATTTTATATTTTTTTTTTTCCAGTTGAAGGGGTCAATATCCTTGTATTAATAAGTTACTGTATATTATACAAGCATACCCATATTGATTATATTTATATCTTAGCTATAGTATTGTTATTCAATCTCAAACCATATAGTTTATTTGGTAAACAGTTGTTTTGTCCCCGTCAAAAAAACTTGCCCACGGACGTTTTATCCTCGACAATTATTAAGATAGGACGTTTCATGCCAGAAAGTTATTAGCAATAGGACTTTTGGTCCCTGATATACTTTAATAATAGAACATTTGGTTCTCAGGTTTTTTTTTAAATCATTATTATTTATTAATTTCTTCAAAGTTCATTATTTTACTAACAATTAATACATTAATTTTTAATGAACAATTTTGTAATGTTTAATATAGTATATAGGCTATAGGTAAGTACCTAATAAAGATTTTACGTGCACTATACAGCCCAATAGATTTGTGAACTGAAATTCTATATTTATATTTATACATTAAAATATTAAATGATAGGGTTTTTAAATAGGTGTAAGATATTTAGTATTATCAAAAGTTATTAAGATAAACCTATTTCTATTTAAATTTGTAATCATATTGTAAAGGATTTAAATATAATGACATTTTATGATATTTAAAAACATAGTTAGTTGACTTAAAATAAATGTATAATTTATCTTAATATTATATAGTATTTAATTTTAATTTATTCATTTTTACAACATTTTGTGTTGACTTAATATAACTATGATTTATTTAAATCTTGACTGTTTGATTATATTATATGAATGTTGATTATGTATATGTATATTTTGTATTATTGTTATTTAAACATTAAATATAATTGTTTAGATTATCAAATTATACCAGGGACCAAACATCTTATAGCTAATTACTCTCTGAGACGAAATTTCTTATCATAATAATTGCTGGGTATGAAATATCTGTGGACTGGTTTTTTTGGAGAGAGCGAAACGTCCGTGATTCATTTTATTTGATTACATTATAAATTACCTATCATAATACAAGTTTTTTGCATTGTAAACATATAATAACTTAAAATTAGTTATTTTTTTTAAGTTATAGGCAAAGTATAAAATCAGAATATTGCTTCTAAGTTACAACTGAACAATTTTAGATTCCGTATAATTGAATATTTTGTATGATATACTATGTCTATGTATTTAGTTATTAGTGATTATCAATAAAAAATTACAAATTAAAAATAAATTGTAAAACTTAACTCAGTTGTAAAAATTCTAAGACAATTATATAACTCAAAATTACAACTGGTTAAACCTAACTAACAATGTCTTTTGATCCATATGAAAATAAATAATAATAGATAATGTTATAAACAATAAAGTTGTGGGTTACACTCAATGGTTATTGATTGTATATCGTGTTAATTTCATTATTTGTTCAATAGATACATTTGATTTCATAATGATGAGCTCAATTATTTCTATTAAGTTAAATATAATTATAACCTCATTATACTTCATTTTGATATGATTTGTCTATTATTTGTATATATGTATAATTTAATTTGATTATAATATATTTAAAAATTATTTAAATGTTGTTTTAATATATTTTATAGTAGGTAGCTTATGACAAATATGGAATTAGATATTGATGAAATGCCTGATAACACTCCTCTAAAAAAGTATTCTAGTGAATTAGCTCAAGGTATGTATATAATTTATTTATATTTCATATAATTATTTATTTAAAAATAATATTTTTATTTAGATAAAATGATTATCAGAATAAAGAAGCAAGAACCAGATGTAGACATTGAAGGTAAAGATTCATCCACTGAGCATGATGAAGTTGTGTAAGTCAATTGATTAAAAAGTATAAAATGCAATAATCTGGGCTCTAATTTTATAGAATTTTATAATTATTATAGTATTCAGATAAAAATAATAGAGTAAGCTATAAATTTATTGTTCTTACATCAAAGATTCCGAGTATAAAATTTGATGTATGTTTTGGAGTATTTTAGGAAATTGTTGGTATTATTTTTTTTAACTTACATTTAAAATCAGATTTATTGAATTCTTCACAAACAAAAGTTTAATAAAGGAAGTTACTTAAAAATTAAAATTTAGTAGATAACAAGTTTACTGAAATCTTTATTTAGTGTTGAGATTAGGTTATTATTGATTTAAGATATTCAAAAATATCTCACTCGATCTTTACTATACTATGTGTATAACTGTTTTAAAAATATGTTGATTATTTTTAAAATATTAACAATCAATGCACTTTTAAAAATAAAATAAAAATAATTTTGCCATGAAATATTGAAAAAAAACATTTCAATTAAAATTTTACCTATATAAATATATTTTTTTAATTTAGTTATGTTTTGTCGAATACTATTGTGTATAGATTTTAAATCTTGATAACTGTTTTAAAAAAAAACCTAAATTGAAATAAAGGTTTAACAAATAATTTTTGTCAAAAAAAATAGGTTAAGAATAATTGTCTGTATTATAATATGGTGATATAAATTTAACTATATAGTTATTTAAATACTTAATCTAAAACAATTGAAGTGGTAAATTTTGCTAGTGTTAAATTTTTTCACTGTACCAGTTATGGTTAAGTTAAATACGTTTTGAGTGTAGCGTTTTGATTTAGTTTAATAAAAAATAATAAAACATTGTGAAAAAAATATTAACTTGGTGATTACTAATTAAGATATCATTACTGGTAATGATTAACTGATTACAGATTAAATCATCAGAACTGTACTATTTGCATATTTAGCTTAAACTAATTAAATTATATAAATTAAATGGCAATGCAATAAATAAAACTATTTTAATAAAATAGCATAATACTAAAAATGATAAACATTATACATAAGATAAAGATAAACAATTCTATACAAAACAATGTTAAGATGGAACAGTTTTTATTTTTTTAAATAATTTTGAATAGTACTTCTTACTGTTATAAAGTTAAATTTATTGGAAGATTAATTTATGGTTTTGTTACTTTATAAATCTAATATACCTAAATGACTAAAAAGTAATGAATAATAATTAATTTAAAAATACAATTTTTGTTTTTTTTTACTATATTTTTAAGGAATATTATTGCACATGTTTCAAAATTTATTGGGTTGTAACTTGTATTATAGTTTTTTTAAGTGCTATAAAGTTAAAACCCTTTTTAATAATAAATCAGAATATCTATAATAAAATAATTACACATAATATAGGTCATATACTTGTGAATTTGTTCAAAAAGTTAACAAAACTAAATCAGAGTTGATCGAAATATGTGATGAACCAATTGAAACTGTTCGTCAAGATGAAAACTTTAGTAAGTTAATTTAAAGTATTTGTTTTTTTATTTTGATTTAGTGAAAATCAGAATAGTTAACTTTTATACTATTATATTTTAGTAGAATGTATCAACTATAAATACAAGATTAATATTTTAAGTATGCTTATAAGATAATTCAATTATCTATTTATCTGATTTATCAGAGGACTTTTTATTTAAATTTTTTTAATCACTATTAAAATTTTCATAGTACCTGTATAATATTATCAAAACTATAAAACGATATTGATTAAACTACTAGACATTTCAAAATAATATTTAATAGCTTATTTATAATTTATTATTATGACTTATGAGTACTAAATTGATTTATATTATCATACGTTACTACAGTTAATTCGGAATTATAGAAATACAGTAAACTTAAAACAATCTTTTTATAGAGAAATGATAACTTAAAATTTTGGCTGATTTGTAAGCTTGGTACCCACGTTGTATTGAAACAATAATTAATTCCAGATTAACTGAATTATTTAGTGAGTCATCACTGTTATATTATATGTATAATATATCTGATTACAAATAATTAATTGTAGGATATATAATATTTTTAATAGTGTTTACTAATAAATTTGTTGATGGTTTTTAATATTTTAAATTTCTTTAGTTTTCAACATCCTGAAAATGTATATTTTCTCCATGTGATATCATTAATTTATAAAGCATAGATAGATTGTATGGTATGTAAATATATTTGATTACCTCTGAATGCCTCTTATTGTGTAAGCAATGCATTTCGTTGATGTATGGACTTTGAATGTGCAAGATTAATATTGGCATTTTTAGCTTTTAATATAATATTCCAGAAAGGCTAAAGAAATCTTAAAATATTGCACTCGCTTTTATGCAAGTTTCTTATTTTTTAACAATAAATTTAATTGTCTTGAACTGTTAGAACAAGTGAATTTTAAAATACTTATATTTAATTAAAAATTAAATTTTTTTTATTTTAATTTTTTTTTCCATCAATAATGTTTTTTAAATTGTATTAACAAACATTTTGGTTTTAAACTGCTGAAAAATTATTTTATTTAAATAATAGTATATCCAGCTATAACTAACTCTGACGATGAAGATACCAATGACGTGACATGGCAGCCACCATCTAATATTTTAACTCCTGGGGAACGCTTAACACGCAAACATATTAAGTGTTTGTATCCAAAAGTTGAAAAACCTTTATCAAAGAAAAAGAAATGTAAAAATAAAAAAAATAATGATGAAGTAGCAATTAAACGTTTGGTATGTAATTTGTAAAATAGTATCATTTATAAAATAATTACATTTTCATAATATTTTGTTTTCTTTAAACTAGAAAAAGGGTCGCTTACCAAAATGTAAGCAAGTTCTAGAAGACATAGACGTTTCAAAGCCAGCTACTGATTTTGTTAAAGCAGATGTAACAACTATTGGTGAATCAATAACAAAAAAAAATTGTGATTCACTAACTCCCAAAGGTAATACAATGAATAATATTATTTTGAAATTTTAGTATAAGATATATTTCTTAAAATTTAATATAATCAGACAGCGTGTAACCAAAATATTTTAATAAGAATATTTTACTTTAATTTTTAAATACAACTATAACTGAGGAAAACAGGACTATTATTCACACATCTATCGTGAAGTTATACAGTGTATAGTGTATGGTTTTAGACTTTTAGCAAGTAATATATTTTTAGATTAAACAGTTGTGATCGAAGAAGAATGTCTTAATAGAAGTATACTAAGCCAAAACTATCTATGTAGGAATGTTTTTGTGTTAAACTGCTAATAAATATCAATTGATTCTATAACTTTTACTTATGTATTCAACATTTAAATTTATGAATTGAAATCCCATGTTGTGTAGTTTTTTTTATTTACATTTGATCATAATATTATCATAAACTATAATTTTTATATTTCACAATGTTTTTTTTTAGTTGGTAAACCAAGAAAAGGTATGGCTACACCAAAACAACGTCTGGGACGTATCATCAAAATACACAAAATGATAAAATAACAACTCAAAAACAAAAGGAAAAATCAGAATAGAATGCATTTTTATATTTATGTGCCAAATAGTTTATATTTTTAATAAACAGTAGTAAGTTATGTTCCGATAAAGCAAATGTATATAGAAGTGTAAATTTAATAAAAACTACTTAAAAGTAATCTTACTTTTGATGTTATGTTGTGTACATTGAAACTTGTTATTAAAATATATATTTTACTCTACACATTAAATTTAAATTATTGAATATTTTTGTTAATATGTTCTTTAACCAATATTCCACTTTATGAAAATACTTAAATATTGATAAATTTTTATATAAACCAATATTTATTTATTTTATTAGTTAATTTCATATCATAAATAAGTTCAACAATTATGTTTTTAACTAAATTTGCTTATTGTATATATTAGAGACTACAAATAACATACTCTGTATTTTATTAGGTGTTTTTATATTACATGTAAGAATTTAAAAAACGTAAGTAGTAGTATTTTTTAAAATAAATTATTGTAGCTGCCCTTTGTTTTTAAATTAAATAAAGCCTACAAATGATTATAATAAAAGACATTTTGAGTTATAAGGTTATAACACTAATTAAATAGTCATTGTATTTTCTTTGTAACATTATTATGCTCACTGCTAAAATTTAAAATTTATTTTATTATGTTTAATTTTAATAACTTAAAATCATTTACTTCTAAGTATTTAATCATAATGATTTTAATGTATAAACTATTATAAACAAAATTTATACTAAGTAAAAATAAACTGTATAGCATGTTTGTATTTATATTATAGCAATAGTTATAAAGTTACAATTTAGGTACAATTTGTAAAAATATTCATTTTATTAAATATCTATGTATTTATATTTTTACTATAATTGTATCCATTTTAGAAATGAATCCTATTTTTGTAATTTGTATTTTATTTACACATCAATTTTAATTGTTTTTTTATGTAGAAGTACAAAGTTTTTTATGAAAAGTTTATTAAATAATATGTACAGACATTTGATTCAATGTTGAATCATTTTAAAAAACACAAGCCTTACTTAAAAAAAAAAAAAGATAATATTTATAATTTAAAATAATAACACCATTTTTTAATTTAAAAAATATATGCAATATAAATTTTACGATTGTTAACTGCATATCTTCTTATAATAAACATGTATTTATGTTTATACTTTAAAAAAATTACCTATTAACTCCAATATATCCAAAATCACATAAATATGTTGATCAATTGGTATGCAAGAGTATAATACCATAATAATATAATGTATATAATATGATTTTCAAATTTATACTGTGATTGAAGGCTAGAATTATCCAAAGTTGATAATTATATTATAATGATCTGTACTTCAATTAATATTTATTTGATCCATGGACAAAAACTAGTACCTATAGTTCAATTTTTATTTTTTTTTTATTTTTTGGAGGGGGGGAATTATTGAAATGTCTAATGGAATAATAATCTTTATATTGTTTAATTATGATCTAAACATTTTTTGATTTCTATTTTATAAACTAAAAGACATATTTAAGTGTAATTTAATTAGTATTTTATATTCAAATACACGGTAAATATACCATATTTAACTTTATCAAATCTAATTATCTCTCTTTTTAACATATTATCTAACTGTTTAAGTGTTATAAGTTATTTTTTATGTGAAGTAGTAATATAATATAACCACCCTTATATTTGACTTGAGAATAGAAAAAAAAAATCAAACCACTACTGGATTTAATAAAGTATATATTTGTACACCAGTGACATATCACATATGAATTATTATATGTTAACATTTATATTTTCTGTAACTATTTTAGAGAAATTAAAAATAAATCTAAAAAGACAGTAGTACTGTGGCTTGCTTATTATTTAAAATAAAATATAAAGAGAAAGTAAATAACTATACAGTAGTCAGTAAGTGTCAAGCATACCTATTATTTCATTCTGTAAGCCACTAATTACAATCATGTATTTGTTAAATTTGAATTTAATGATAAATCATTGGTTACTAGCTAAAGACAATATTTCTAGTTGAGATAGCCTTATTAGTTATTATTAAGTAAATTTTATGACATACTTTTATTACTATTAAGTAATTAATTTTACTAGTAGTTTAAGTTAAGTTGATTTATTTTTTGCTGAAAACATTACAATATTTGAAAATGTCATTTATATGTATAATCTAATAATATATGTTAAAATGTTAAAATATTTTTAAATTATTAAAACAAAATAACTAAAATCATTATTTTTGGTATTAATATTTTAATCTAATTTTGTCTGAATTTTACATAAACATATTATCTTTAAAAATATTATGTTTATTTATTTCTTAGATTTATTGATTACAGTATGAACTATGAATAAATTATCATTTTATGAAAAACCTTTAATTAGTTCTATTAAATTATCAAGTCTTAGTTATAAAAATTAAACATTATGTTACATTTTAACTATGAAATAATTTTCAATTTTTTGAGAATTTGAACTTCAAATACTTATAAAAGAGTTGTGCTTATGTATCTTAAACATTTTTAAATAGCTAAAAAAATAACTTAAAAAACTTTCTGTATTAAATGAGTTCGCCAAAGTGAAAATGTTACAAAATTTATTTTTATAATAAAACTAAAACAAAAAAAAAAAAATAAAAAATCAAACATAAATAAATAGCTCAAAAGAGTAGAAATATTTTAAAAAATTTTCATATATATAAGAAAATAAACAAAAATGATATAAGAAAAATTTGTATGAAAAATTGATGAAATTGTCATGTATTTGAGTTACACAGGAAAAACAAAATCGAACAATGATTTTGAAAAATAATGAAAATGTTTACTTTTAACCTACCTAAGTATCAACTAAATCCATTTTTACTAGAAACCACCATAAAGTTTAATATACAATCAATACTAGAAAAAGTGTCTTCAGAAACAAAAATAAATTATTGTAAAATCAATTCATTTTTAATTGCTTCTTTAAGAATTTAATCTGTCAAAGTTAAACATCTGACATCTGCTATCATATCACCAAGAACTATTATTATTAATATATTTCATGATAAAGTAGGTATACTTCTCTAATGTACTTTTCATTCTTATTTTTATGTTAATATCATGTCGGTACTCTGTAGCCACTAGCCAGTGGCGCCAATGTCAATTTCAAAAAATAAAATCTGAGATATAACTGACTGATATAAGGTACTAGTGAACAGTGACTTTATTACATTAAAATATATGGGACAAATTCCGTGCACTATCAATTATATTCAAATAAATAATTTGTATCTTTTACACCTAAGGACTACTATAGTCAAAACTGACTTGGGCCCATAAATTCAAAACAAAATTTCAATAAAATATGTTTAATTTATAATTCTGTTATGAAATATTTAATAATAATGATAATAATTTTTAATTATTATTACTAAAGACTAAAGCTACAAATTTATAGAAAAACTAAATTATTTTTAGATTACAGTTAAAACATAGCTTTTTTAAACACAAATTTTGAATTAGTTACTAATGAATTTAATTTTTATGTTATTTACATTTATGATTTATTGAGTTATTATTATTTTTTAATTCTTTACTATTAAAAGATAATTTTAATAATTTCCTTCAATCAAACATTTTACTCATATTTTATTTGTTCAATTTTTTTTTAAAAATATTTTACACATTTCATTAATACGCCGTACTTAACTATAATATCTTTTATACTTGAATATTTTATAGATCTCTATATTTTTTAGATTACCTATGATTCTTGATTATACTATTAAAGTGTATTTTATTTATATATTTTGTTGATTTTAATACTTTTTAAGGACATTTTTAGAGATTTATAATGTTTATTTTTATACTGCATTTTTTTTAGATTTTTAGATGTTTTAATACATTATAAATTCACATTTAAAAACCATAATCAACCATTTTAATTTTGTGCGAATAATGTTCGTGCTAAATGTATACGTCAATAGTCAATACTATGTTATTTCCTTACGAAATATAAATTATCGTATAATTTTGTATCAAATCAGCAACTGGTGAGTCGTGAGTAATAAAAGCAAATAATAATTTTTGTATTAGTTGTTTAATAAATTACATGTTGAAAATATGTTTGCAAATATTATGCACCACATTAGGTGTCCAGTGACCAGTGACAACGTCAACTCAAGTACCTAAGAGCATTACGAATGAAAAGATTTAAAATCTATTTAATAACTGAAGGCTGAAGTAAAGAGTTAATTAGGTTATGTTCCATAAATTTTTTTTCCAAATTTTAATGTTAGTTTTTAGATTGTCTCAATGGGTCAACATTGTTTACACTGAGAAGTGATTATTTGTCACGAATACATTTTTAAACTTTATGTCTCAAAATGTACGTCCATATTTACCGTGGATAAATAATATTTTTTTGATATCTATTGTTTGTATAGTACTATGATTGTGCTATATTCCATTATAATCATGCAATATGACTCGCTGGAAAACTTCGCTATCGTTTTTCTAACCCCCCCTCCCCGCTTCAACAATTGAAAAATCCTGAGAACGCCACTGAGTATTATGGTTACAAATGTTACGATGGCGTAGTCGCACTACGCGGCGCGAACAAGACGTTTAGAGTAGACGAGAGAGAGGAAATCGTCAGCATCGCTACAACAACGTATCCACTAACGCATTGCGCGTCTGCGCAGTAAGTCGTCACGCAGTAACGCACTACGCAGTGAATAATATTATATTTTAAATTATAGTAACGCTTGAACGCACCGGCACCGCAAAGTCGATAAGAACAGTGAAGTCTGCACGTGTGGTGTATTACTGTAAAGCGTGGTCGCACTGGCCGTACGGACGCCAGCGATGGCCGTTCGCGTCTGTGGACAGTGACGACAGTGTGGACTGTGGTCCGTCGCGTCGACTCTCGGCTGACGAAGCAAAAGAGAGATTGTCGGTCGCCGCCGCCGCCGCGATTTCAGCGCTCTCGTCTCGGCGATGTGATAATAATCATCATCATCGTCACCGCCGCCGTCACCACCACTACTCTCCAGTTACCGCACACCGTTTACGCGTAAACAATATTGTAGTACAACTACTCCTATCGTCCATTTTTTTTTCTCATTATCTTTACAGTTTTTTCCCAGTGATTTATCGAACTATAATATCATTAATATCTTCCCCGGTTCGTATTCTCGTCCGTCGCAATTCCACCGATTGTCGGGCTGTGCGTACCGTATTATCGGTCGTCCATCCGGTAAAACCCACTGGATCGCGATCTATTTCGTTCGATCGTTTCTCGTACGTGTCAAACCGTTGTCTGTTAACAGTGTAAGTTGTAATCCTGAAGACCCGTCGTCTTGTACGTATCCGTTTTGTACTGCACCGCGTCTCGAGTGACCGTCGGCTGTTTCTCGGGCCCGAATAAACATGACTTCCAACGACGATCTGATGCAAAAGACAATGTTGATCATCGAACACAAAATAAGAAACCTGGAAAAACGCAAGGTACATTGGACATCGTTTTATCGCCTTCATATGCAATTTTCTTCCATTATGACGAACGTTCAATATTAATCGTTTTCTTAATTGCTCTGACCATTATAAATAATAAATAATATTTATTCCACGTATGACAGTTTGGCGCTGCAGAATTTACTCATATTGTTATGATTGCTGTTTCAATTAAAATCTTATTAAGTTTTTCTATTTAAGCTAGTTGATAAATTGTTATACTCTTCAAGTTTAGCTTAATATCTTCAACACTTTTTATTATTTAAATCAAAAGTAGATTGTATGGTTGGTATTAATTATATAAATAGAAGTAGGTAATTAAAAAAATTGCGGATAGTATATTTTATGGAATATTTTAAAATATATGGTATTGTTCTCAATAATTTAATAATTTGCTATAGGGCATAGTACTTAATGTCAGCCATGTTGTTACAATAAGTGAAGTATAAAGTAGAATTTAGTAAGTAGTGAGCATAATACACGTGTATAAGCATTATTACAGAATCACATTAATCAATAAATTTTAATTCCTCCGATATACCAACTAATTGTTTGTAAAATTAGAAATACATTCTATGTAGTAAGATGTTTGTGGGCTAACAACAAAATATTTTTGCTCAATAAATCTATTAATGCCTCATATTTAGAGTTTCATTTAAATGCACAGGTTAGGTTCTTAGAATTATATTCAATAAAGTACAGAAAGATCTAATAAACCATTCATTTACTGAACTTAATGTATTACCATTTACCAGTTAAAAAAGTACTTATATGTTTTAATAATAATTATTGCTATGTATCTGAATAATCAATATTTGTTACAACCTATAAAATATAACTCAATCAGTTCATTTTATCGCTCAGCAACCATCAATATTTGTCAAAAATAGTAATGTGTAAATTATACTTTTTTTCAATATAATAATTTAATTTAAAAAAAAAATCGAAAACTATTGAAATTTTTGAATATTTTGCACTAAACTATGTGATAAAATACCACTTTATATTATTAATTATTTAAAGAAAAATTTCACAATATTTATTGAAATTTTATGATAAATTGGTAATGAAATATTTATAAAATAATAATATATAATAATACATTTTAAACAAGCTTATCAATACTATTTAGAATTTGTCACTTTTAAGTTTTAATCATAAAATGATTTAATATATTAACATTATTATAACTGTCATATAGTTCTTACTCTGTAATGAGTATAATTTAATATAAAATTTCTGGGCTACACGTGTTCTCTCAGGATTATTTATAGGTACTCATACAATATTATTTATTCATTTTTTTTTTTTTTTTTTATTATAGTTAACTATAAAATTATAAAAAAGTATCCTATCGATTCACAAGTATGCAATAATAACTTGATTTTTAAAAGTTTTTTCTCCTAATCTCCTAGTCACCTAATTTTAAAATTATGTATTTAAATGATATTTAATTATTATATTTTTATTTTTTTTTTAATTGTATTTAGCTTAAATTAGAAGGATACCTCCAACAACAAGAGGAAGGAGTGCAATTAAGTGATGATCAATTACTAGCTGCATCAAAATTTAGTGAAGTAGTTAGTACTTTGGATTTTGCAAGAAATCTGAAAGATCAGTTAAATACTCTTTTAATAACGGCAAAACAAATCAGAAACAGTACAAATGGTGAAAAGCTTCCTACTAAAGTTGATAGTAAAATCAAGCAAGTTTTAAATTTTCAGGTAATTTCTATAAAGTAAAATAAATAATTGAATGTTAAAAATAATAGTTTAATTACCAATCTAGTATATAGATACTAGTCGGTAAATTATTAACCCTACGTTACACGTATTCAATTTTAACACATGATAACATGTACATGGTCATTTTGACCGAGTATTGAAAATCATTACTCAAATTCAATATTTACAAAATTTAATATTATTTTGTTATTGGTATACTTTTTATTTAAATAGTAAGTCCTCATATTTACGATTTCAAGAAAAAAATTAAAAATTATAATATAAAATCAAAACATATCATTATAAAAATTATTATTTTGATTCAAAGTTTAATAACTTTTTTACATTTTTTAATTGAATTAATAATTACTTTGCATCATATATTGAATTTTTTTTTATAAAAATAAATACTGACTTGATAATATATCAATATATTTTGTCAACTAAAAATAATAACACTATTACATACGCCATAGTCGAATAGACAAGTAGATAACTTTAGCATTTAATTTTTGTTTTATTATAGTGATTGAAAATACCAAATTCATAAAATTATATCTAAAAGTATAAAAAGTTATTATTTGAAAAGTTCTACTGTTAAGTCATAATTCAAAAAATTGTTGAGTTATATTTAAAAATAAACCTAATCTGGTTATTTAGACAAGTCTGTAATGCATGGTTAAGTTACTTTGTTGAATATAGAGAAAATAATAAATAAATACTTTAAATTAATAATTTTATGTTGACTCATCAAATTGAAATACAAATAATTATTATAATAATTATAATTAATATTTTTGATATTTATATGTATATTTTATCATTAGGTGCATATTATTGAATTTAAATATTATACTTTATGTACCTATATCAACTATTAATTATGATGGAAAAGTTTTAAGGAAAGTAATTAAAATTACTTATTTATTTTAATATTTCAATATTCTAAAGTTTATTATACATAACTATAAGGAATATTATTATCACATTATTTCAATACAAGTCTTGTTTTGATGTTAACATATTATAGTTTAAGCAAGTGTTCATGTTCAATTTCATCTTAAACTTCTTCAGGAATGCAATAAGTCTATTTTCATTCATTGCTTCTATAAATTAGTTATTTATTTTATGAGTGTTCTTCTTGTTTTGTTATATTATTTTGAATATTTATCAATAACCCTCAAAACATTTTAAATAATATTTAATATAGAGTTTTACATAATTTCAATAACAAATTATTGTCAAAATGTATAAAATTGTTGTTGTTTTTTTTTTAATCTAACTTAATACAAATGAAGACTAAAACTTATGATTTGATAATAGGCTAGTTTTATTTAGTTTAATTGCTTAAAATAATTAATTAACATTTATACCTATTGTAGATATTTTCAAAATCCAATATTTAAAGAATTTATATCTTATTTCCAGAATATACTAGAAAGTATCAAAGATGACTCTGTGAAACAAGATTTATTAACTGGTAATAATGGTGCAGTACAATTGACTGATGATGAGCTCTCAAAATTGTCGCATTTTTCTAAAATGGTTTCACCTAAACGGCGAGTAGAAGAAGGAAAACCACTTTTTGAGGTAACTTGAATAAGAAAACAACACTCACAAATAATGTTGCTTTTTGAAAAAAATATGATGACTGGAGGTATAATCATGAAATTTTTAATTTACAACTATTGATGCTGTTTGAATATTTTAATAACTATTTATATTTTATATTAAAAAAAAAAAAAAAAAAACTGAAAAATTTGTGACTGTAGAAAACATAGCAAATACCAAAATAGTAAATGTTAAAACCTAATTAAGTGTATTTTTGCTTATTATACAAAAAAAAAAAAAAAATGAATAATAATAATTACATTAATAATATTATTGTTTTATTAAACAAAAATAACTATTGATAACATGTTTGAATTAATAAAACATAAACATACTACATTATTATTTAATATTTATATGTATAAACAATTGTTTTTGTAAAATAACCTTTACTTTTCTAGCTAATTATTTAATAAGTAAATGTAATAATAAATATGTAACTGCATATTTATTAATTGTCAAATGTATAATAGTAATACCGTTCTACTGTGAAAATGTTTTGGTGAAATAGTTCTCAAATTTTTATTGTTTTATTTTAAATTATAGGATCAACTTAAGACTGTTTCCAAACATTACATGAAGCTTATAGAAAGTAAGCCTAATATTGTAGCTGGTACAAGTTATGCACATTTAAAGGAATGTTTAATAAAAATTGAAAAAAGTGGTTATCTGAACAATATAGTTAAACTAAAACAAGTTGATAAAGAAGTTAGTACATTTTATATTATTACTGTCTAAATAATATATTTAATCATTACACTACATTATATTTAAGGTTAATACAATTAATGAAGATAATAGTTTAGAATTTCAAAATGTACACCAACCAGTAGTTTCCATAAGTAATGATTCACCAGACAACATACCAAGTAATTTATTAATAATTAATTTTTAATTATCATTAAGTTATTTTAACCATTATTACTTTTGTAGTTTCTAGTATTCCTAATGCAGAGTTCACTCCAAATAAAATTGAAACAATTTATTTTACAAATAACAATATTGGCGGAACTACAGTTGAACAAAACCTACAAAATAGTAAAAACACCTCAGATTTAGTATTCAATACATCATTTGACTTTTTACAAGTATTTATATAATTATTAAGATATTTTTAAAATAAGTAAAAATTCTTGATAAAATTTTTATTTTATATTTATTTTTTAGGATTCTCAGCTCGAAGAAGATATTATAAGTGTTGACCTAAATTCTATACCAACTCAAACATTTTCTTCTTCTATATATGGTAGTCATGGACCAACAGATGATGCAATTTTAAAAATACTCTCTACTCCTCCACAACACCAACCATTGGTATCTATTCCACTCTGTTTTTTTTTCAAATTAATTAAGTTATTAATAAACTCCCTTTTTTTAATCAGGAAACAAAACAAAATCATTTAGAAAATGTTGTGGATGTAAATATTTCTAGCTCTAATTCCTGGGCAGGAAAAACTGAAGTAAATTGGCAAAGTAGGACCGAATCAGGAGATAGTAATAATTTACCTAGAGAAAATTGGTCAATGGCTCAAATGATTAATAACGGCACAAATAATGATTGGCTCACAAAGAATAACTGGGTTCAGATGGCTGAAGTAGATAAACAAAATCAAGTACCAGTACAACCAACTCAACCATCACCCAAAAATACCTCTTCTAATTTCGGTTTAGTTACTAATGGTATATAAAATGATTATTAATCAGCTTCAACATTATAATATATTGTGTAAAGATAAGATATAGGTGTTTTTATAGTTTTAAATAATTTAATTTGGTTTAGTACTTTTTAGCTTAGTAGTATTTATTAGTAAAAGGTACAAATATAACAAAAAATGATAGTCAGCATAATATAATACAAAATTATTTTTAAAATAGTATCTACTTATTTTATAATATTAATTTCTTTTTAATGTTTAAATTTGTTTATAAACATGCAATATACGACTATCGCCTTCAGGTAATATAGAATTCCAATATAAAAAAGTCATATCTAATTTTACCCAATAGATTCAAATATATTAAAGTTGATTTAATACAAATTATCAATTTAGGATTTACAGAAAATCTCGATGAGTTATTGCAAAAATCAGTGGTTTTCAATAAACAAGAATCATACCCTGTTACTACTTCCTCTAATAATTCAACATATTATCAAACTAATTATGGGCAGCAATCGCTTGAACGTAATATTGGGCATTATACTAATTCTAACGGTAGTAATCCTAGAAGCCATTCAAATGATTACAATAAAAGATCTACTTCTATGAAACCTAAAGCTTCATATTCAGGAGAAGGTTAGTTATACATAATTATATTCGATAATAAGTACAAATTAACAATGTCTATTTATACAGGAGGACCATCTCGAGGTTATCAACAAGGTAACTCATATGTTTACAATAATCGCTCATATAAGTCCAATAGCAATACCAACACAAGTAATGAGTATTCTAGAATCTCACGGCAAACCTGATGAAAATCAAACTTCATGCAATCCATTGCCTCATTTAATATTTTACTGTGCAAAGTGGAACAGTAAACATTTTGTTCATTAAATATGAACTTATTACATAATACTAAAGAATCTATAAGCTTTTATTGGCTCTAGATAATACCAAATACTATTTTATTCTCTTAATTTTATTGCCCATATTTTTTCTATCTTTTTTAAGGATTTGAATTTACTGAACTCAAAATACGCACTTAGATATCTATATAAATATATAATTTTTTTTTTCTTGAATTGTGATTGTATACTTAAAAAATAGCAATTTAAAAATGCACGAAGTAGTTATATTTAATGTAATTTCAATTTTTTTGATTTAATTAATTTGATTTTTTTTTTTTTTTTGTGTATATTATTACAATTAATGTATCTTAAATTAATAAATTAAAAATTCAGGGAATATTTTTGGCTTTTTTTTGTTCTTGGTGGTGGTTTTCTATAGAATATATTATTTCATTATATTCTCTTCACAATGTTCATCATTATTATTTATATGTTATTAGAATAATGTAAGTAATAATGAAACTTAAGTTTAAAAAATATGTAACTAATGCATTTTGTGTATTTATACAAAAATACTTGACAAATTCCTTTATAGATTCCTTATTTTATTATATATATATATTTATAGTTTACATTTGTACATTTAATTAAAACTGAAATATATGTATGGCAATTATATAATAACATTATAGTGTATTTTTTTATCAATTCAATTTTATATATATAATGTAATTAATAAATACAAAATGCATTGCAAGTACGAATTTAAATTGGAGCTGTATACAGTTTTAGAATGATATAATCAGTTTGCTATGGAACCAATATTAATAATTACTGATGAAAAACATGTTTAATTTATGTGTTATATGTTGTAACAAATGTTTTTTATCATTAACTATTAGTTTATTTGTATTAAATTCTGTATTATAGAGATATTATGTTACGCATTAAGTAACGTGTATAGAGTGATTTTTTATTTTACAATATTAAATTTTGTAGTTGTACAATTTTATATTTTTTGATTATATTTTCAAAATAATTAGAAAATAAAATATTTGATAAAAAATGTACAAGAAGTTATGGTTTAAAATAATAAAGTGGAAATACAAAAATAATGAGTGAAATTATTCTATCTAATTTTTAAGAGTAATTGCTTTTTTAAATGTTATAGTTAATTTAAAATTGAAAGTATTAACTTGTGTTTTGGACTTGTATTAAAAAGTTTGATGTATAAATGCATTAGTTGCATTTTTTTAACTTTCTTCTTGTGTAATTATGTTTAACTAATAAGCTATTGGAAAAAAATCATGTATCAGATTCTAAATTCAAATGGGGTTCCATAAATATTTTACTCAGCTATTAAATTAATTTATTTTTTATACACCTCAGTATCGGTGCATACTACTTGCGTCCCAAATTGATAATAACAGATAACTTGCGTTCAAATAGTTTGGATGCAAGTTACTTGTCGTATATATTGATGTGTTAATCGCGTCTCGAATGATAATTTCGTAACGATATAATTTTATGGTTGGGCATACTTACATTAGAAAAAAACATATATCTATAGCTACCTACGTAAATTATTATATACAGATAATACGAAAATAAAACAGAGGTATGTATATTGTAATATAATTTGAAAAAAAAAATCTATAAATGTTATATAAATCAATATTAGGTACAAATTACGACATACATTAGTTATAATTTATAACTGTTTTAACTGCGAACTGTTTATAATTAAAAAAAAAAAAATAATAATTATAATTGCTTGGCATTTTGATATCTTTTATTGAGCTAAAATAAAAATTTAAAAAAAATTTTTTTTAGTTTTTTTTGGAATAATGATAAATTCCTTTGTTAATGATTTTGAGTTTTATATTCGATATTAATTGAAATATACAGACTAAGAAAGCAAAAATTAATTTTAAAAAAATATGCATAATATGCGTATAAAATCAATGGAATATGTATTTTTATAGCTAAAATTGACAAAATATGCAAAATTTGTATTTTCAATTTCTTAACTTGACATTGTACAGTTCAGATTTTCAACTTGGTCTGCTATAAATTGAGAGTATACAGAACAGTATGCAATTCATACAACTTCCGAGACCTAATTATAAATAACATACTGTTAATTTCTTTGTTGTAAAGTTTGGCAATTTGAATTTCGATAAATTTTATTTTATCTTCTTGGTCGCTTTTATATATATATATTTTTTTTTTGTGGTTTATTCGAACTGTTTATTAGAATATATGTATTAATTTTCATAGGAAAATAAATTAATAAATAGGGCTTAGACAAGTGCCCGATTATCAGTGATTATTGTGTAGAATTGTTGACCGCCAACAGCTGTGTTGTTTTGTTGGACACAGCATACTACAGTGAAATTTCCATTTAATTCGTTAAATAGAATTACATAATTTTTCTCATGTTAATTTTTTAGTTAATCTTAATTGTATATAATATTAAAAATAAATATAAAATATATTATATCTGTATAGTGCATATACGTATATTATGTATTTTTTAATCTTAATTTAAAAGGAATAATTCTCGAGTTTTGTTTTTTTATTATTTTTTTATAAATTATATTGTTTTCGTAAAATGTTTTGATTTCATTGAGTTTAAAAATATTTATATTAATAAATTAATAAATAATAATTTATATTTTTAAGTATACAAATAAATTCATTTTCTGGTATAATGGCCAGCGTCATTTATTCTGAAATTAATATATTTTGAAATAAAATAATACTGTAAAACTAAAAAATTTAAACTAAACTTAAATTTAACAATAAAGTAATGAAGATAAACACGTAATAGAACATTATTATCAGTCATTGCTCCGTTAGTCCAACGAGTAAATTATTATTTAATATCATACAAACGATTGGTATTATGAAATATTAAATATTTTTAGAAAATAGGTTTATGATTTTATTTTAATGTTGTATTTTTATGTTTGTACAATATTTTTTAACGATCATTTAAAAAATCTATTTAAAAATTTATAAAAATATAACCCAAATAATTTGGGCCAAATTTCAGTAAAATATAAAAAAATTACCTCAAATTAAAAAAAAATACAAAAAATACAAAATAAAAAATATATATTTGAACTCAGACGACCAAATCACTTTTTGTGCTTGAAAAGCTATATCCTGTAAATCCTAAAAAAATACAAAATCTTATACTATCCTAGCCTTATTCATTACACTACTTAATTACTTTAATAGCAATATAGCTATGTATGTATACAATAAAATATACTTGACAATACAGGCATCTGCTGATAGACTTTTTTCGTTTAGATTCCCTTTTTTAGCATACAATGTTTTATCATTGAATTCAAATTTAATACATATAGGTATTAGTGGTATTACGTTATTACAGTAATTGAGCGATCCCTTAACACCTATTATACATTTATACAGCAGAGCAGTATCGACTCATCAATGATGAATTAAAATCAAAAATAATATCTGTATGTTTAATTCTTTAATTTAATACTTAATTTATCTTAAGACTTAAATATGTATTGTAAATCAAATCAACACAAAATTACTATAGTTAAAGTAGCTGAGTAATAAAATGCATTATTGAAAATTATTGTGTACTTCTACCTTGGTACTTTAGAATCAAAAATTGTGTACAGTTTTATTTACATATTATGTTAAATATTATTATTAATACAATTTATTGAAATAAATGTTGAAGCAAATTTCTTATAATATTATATTTCATTTATACAGTGTCAATTAATTTTTTGACAAAATAATAATACAAATCTTCAATTTTCAATAACACTCACTGAGACATTACTATTTAAATATTTAAAACGGCAAAAGATTCACATTACATGTCTACACTCTACATTCCAAAAAGCCTGCATTTCTTTTGCCAAACAATTTAACAGTTGTTGTATTATACATTATAGATATGTATCAAATAAAATTAAGAAAATAATAATAATTACCGTAATAAATTATCTAATTTAACAATAAGTCTTAGTCAGTAAATATTAGTAAGCCTATAAATAATTATGTTTATCAATAATCAACATAGGAAAGTAGGTTGAGTCACGATAATAGGGACCTATATAAGAAATCAAGAAATAAGAGCGAAAAGGTATTCAGTGATGATGACTGCTCTATGCGGTTGCAGTATCTAATACCACAATTTAATAAAGTGTACATATTTTAAAAATTTTGTATGTCTCATTTGTATTAGCGTGCATTGAAGTGATTGGCGTATGTGTTATACAGTATACTGCATAGTATTATATTATAATTTATAACACATGTATGTATTACATAGTTACATATTAATATGATATAACAAACACAAATACACAATTTAACTGTATCTATATAAAGAAGGTTTGATTATTATATAAATATATTATAGAATATAGAGTAATAATTTCATAATTGGCAATAAAAAACAAAACATTTTCATAACACAGACATTTTGTCGACAAAGATAGGTACATAAAATTTAATTTAAATAACATACACATTATATTTATATAATTATATTCATTAGGTATATTATAATAATTTATAGATTTATTTTTCTTCAAGTTAAGTATACCTACTATAAAATAAATTAATATAAATGCCGTAAATCCTCAAAACCAGTAGGTACTTCCGAATTTCTAATTATGAACTCGGATTAAATGAAAATGCAACGGGTCTAAGTCTAGATTTTTACCTCGTATTGAAAAAAAAATTGCTAAACTTTCAAAGAAATTATTGCTAATGCAATACGATATATTTCTATACATGAATAACTGTAAACCTAATATTTTTGTTTTATACAAATGATTAGAAAATAAACTAAACGAATACAATTAATAATACAGAATAATATAAAATGTTATAAGATATAAAATAATATTTCATAATATATATATATATATAAAAATTATTTTAATGAAGTAGTTATTTTAGCTTTTGCACACGGACAATGTTCATGTTTTATAGCTTCCCGGTCCCGTTACTTTTACGTGTATTGCTGCCACGCCGCTGACGAAACAAGCAGTCTATTTACCATTAAAAAATGTTAACACAGCAACACACGTAGTCGTAGTGGTGGGGGTGGTCATGATCGTGTAGTATGTATTGTGCACACGGCAGGCAGCAATGTATGTGTCGATTTGTTATTACACGTAATACGAAAACGCAATAGTGATTAAGTTTTTGATTATCTTTACGCAAAAACCAATTACATTTTTTAAGATTAATAAAATAATGCTTAATAAAAATCAATTGGTGCACGAGTTCCACAAAAGTCGTAGATTAATCAATACTAGCAGTAATTGTGTATAGCAGAGTTGTCAATAATCGTACAAATCAAATTGTACTTGATATTTAAATTTGTTTTCTTCCAACATTAAATATGTAATAGCTCCATATTATTTTAATAATTATATATGTTACCGGCAGAGTAGTGAATATAGGCACTCTATAAATTCCCTAGGAATTCTATAGAATTTTTTTTAACTATTTGCCAATGTATTAAATTTAAATGGTAATTTATATTATGTCTAGGTATTCTATACAATTCCTAGGATTTCTATAAAACGCCTATACTATGTTAGGTAATGTGTTAAATCAAAATATGTTTATTATTCATATTTATTTATTTATTGCAGCATATATTGATGCATGACATTTATTACTAAATACATAAAATGTTATTTTTTACACATAAGCATTTTTTAGATTGATATTTTCAATTTATCATTCAATAAATTAACAGAATTTTTCGAATTTTCTTTAATTCAACATAAAAACGTTCAGACATTTTAATGTATCTTAATACGACAAACATTTAAAAAAAAGTAAAAATAAATAATATTTTTAAAAACGTATAATTTAATTTTCCTGTATACACCGAATAACATGATAATATGATTACCTAATATTAACGATAATACATCGCACATATGTTGTATGCAATAACATAATTGTCAAGATAAACATTAATCGTTGATTATAGAGGTACAATTATAGGTAAAAATCTAAGTTTTATATTAACTATAAATACTTTTCTTGCTCATTTTTGATACTTTGGATTTCTATATAATACCGGATTCAACAACACATGTTAGTAACATTAAATTACACGATTTTATTATACGTGATACAAACAGTGTAGGTAGGTATAATTGTATACGTCAAATATCATTGCATATTTTGGACTCTTTCGGATTACAAAAATTAAAAAAGATTTTGGACATTATTGAACACATGTTAAAATAAAAAATTATAATATATGAAAGGTGGTTTGGAAGATTACAGAAATTTTTTTGGTCGAAGGAGCGAAAATTTGGAAATACGACATAATTTTGAATTTTTCAAAATTTTGAAATTTTGGAAAGTATTTTGAAATCATATACCCTAAATAGCGTTATTAAGATTAAAAAGATTTGTTTGATATGTGGGCCGTTCCCGGTGGTACTGCAATACCGGGTCAACCCGCGGTGGAGCAGGAGCAAGCCCCAAAATCTCCACCAAATTTGAAAAAATTAGTTTAACATTTGAACCCTTCGATGAAGGGTGTATCAGATGTTAAGCTGATAAGAACAGATACTACACTTTGATCTTAGCCGATAGGCCGAGAAGCGATACATTTCCAACATCTTTAAAGATACTTAAAGAAAAATGCAAATCTAAAACATTTGCAGTTTCAAATTTGAACATTTTCGAAAATACGAAAAAATCGATTTTCGAAGAAATCCGATTTTGAAATATGGCTGTATATTTCAATAATTCATTTAAATACACCTCACCTGTCATCGATAATTAGTTTTAAATATATAATTTTGTAGATTAATTGTCGACAATTCGATTATATAAACAGTACAGCTCAATCGCGCTATCTAATGGCAATAAAAAACAACGCACACATCGAATGCTACTTATATGTATATAGTGACGATGTGCTGCGGTCAGCAGCCTGCGGAATAGGGAAGTACCTCGTCTCTTATGCATCGATTCCAATCGTGTATCGTTAGCGCTCTCTTGTTGTTCTTAAAAAAAAAAAAAAAATGTTTAAAATACAGTGCAACTTTTTCCAATCGAAAATTAGTGTATTGTTGGTATATTCATAAATCAAAAATGATTTAATAATCAACAATATTGCAAAATTATCGATTATTTGTTTGATATTGTGTATGTAATCATTTATAAATAAACATCAAAAACAATTTAATTATTTTATATTAAAATCCGAAATTTTGATTTTGTGTATACATATGTACTTTCTTGATTTTTAATTTTGGAATTAGTTTTTATAAAAACTTAAAATAAAAATACTCAAAACTCGCTTCAAAATTAAAACATCAAATTAAACCAGGTCTTGAAATCCAAAACATTTTTTTCAACTTTGATTTTGGTTTCGGATATCAGTATTTATTTTTCCGATTACGGTTTTGGTTATTGGTATTTATTTTCGATTTTGGGTATTACGAATAACAATAATAGTTGTACAATAATTATAATTTCTGTGCAACACGAGTTCTCTTTACGTAATACCCGTTATGATAAAATTAATATAGAGTTTATGGAAAAGATTATAAATCAATTAAATTTATGTTTCATTCTCAAATAATAATATTTGACATTATCTTAATTAATTTGAATTTAAATTTGATATACCAACCACAATGTTATACATGTCACCAAATACGGTGTATTATATTCATAGTTTAAATATCCTGTTTATTTATAAAATTAATTACAAAACTACATCAATGTTATACCTAAGTATAATTTATACAGCTATAACGTATATTATACATTTATATTTTATATACCATTGTCCATTATGTCCTATTAGTTATTTGTTTTTACTAGTTATTATTTATTTAGTCGTTATAGTATGCGGAATGATTTTATAATCTAATTACCCGCATATCCTATATTTTTACGTTACTAGCAGTCACCCGCGTGCTCCGTTCCTGTAGATAATCGTTTTCAAATACAATTATTTAAAATATAACAGTAAAAAATTAAAAAAAGTGGTACTAAAACCTTTAGCAGACAGTCAGGTAAACAGTAAAAAATTTGGTAACGATTGACGGTGTTGATTTGTATGCGTGACAAAAAATCGGGACTTGTTTTTAAAATATAGATACCACATTTTTATCACACTTCTGAAAAATTAAACGACTCAACAGTTGACTATTTAATAAAAGATTTTGAAATAATTTAAGTTGTATTAATTTATTTAAAACAGTTCAGCTATTTAAAATTTAAATGTTGGATATTAATTTATTTAATTTTATATTTATTGGTATTTATTTTTTTCGATTTCGGTTTTTAATGGTTTTAATCGGTATTCAAAATCAGTATCTAATATCGGTTTCAAGCTCTGATACATGGGTGCCCGCAGGAAATTTATCAGGGAGGAGCATAATGAAACCAAATACCAAAAAGCACATTAAAAAATTATATACTTTGCAAACTCCAAAATATGTCAGAATTATTCAATTATACTCTATTAATTCGTTATTAAATAACTTTCAACTACACACAATTCCAACAACTCTATGTTAACTGTATTATTTATTTCAATAATTGAAGTAGAGTCAGTAGAGACTTCATTAAGAGAATCACAAAGCTCGGGTTTTTTAAAAAAAGTATCTGATGTCCATAATACATAACAATGAAACAAAATATTAAATATACTAAATATGTACAATACGTACATAATTTAGTGTGGTCCGTATTTCACAGTAAACGGCGCATTGACAAATAATTTAATTTCACAATTATTACAATAATTTACAATGTTATAAATAATAATGTTGTACATTCGCCATTCGGTTTATTTTTAGACGTCTTATGCATAATATGTGTGTTCTGCGCGTTATTTTGTATGCTTTAAAATTTATTGTTATTACGACAAACAAGCGCTTAATTAATAATTTTATCTTTTCATTATTTCCAATAATTTTTGTATTGACCACCCCAATATACTTAAAGTAAAAATATCAATGAAATGTTTATTAAATCAAATAAGAGTTAAAATGTTCAATATTATATTTGAATTTCAGGAAGGCAAATATCCCGTCTTGTAACCGAGCGCCAATACCTTAATATTTTATTTTTATCTTTAAATTTGTTATATTATTAAAATTATCTACACAAAATTTATTCTGGTTAACACAACTTTGTTGTACGTTTGTAAAACGGAGACAATAAATACGGGTGTAGACTGTAGCTATTAGCCGTCCACTTCAGCTTATAAATTGTGATATATTGATTCCCATACCCGAATTGTGGAATAAAAATCCTTGGGATACAAATAACACAGTATACAAATAGAATTTCAGAAATATTTCTATGAAGTTGATAGAATAAACATTTTTAAAACATTGAATAAATAAATTGATATTTAATTACAATTTACAAAAGTAAAGATATTTACTTTTATCTACTTATGATTTCATAAAAATATTAAATTGAATATTGTAAAATTAAACAAATATAAAAAATAAAAATAATGCATAAAGTTTTATAAAATACCTACATCATGTAAAAGATTAAAAAATATTAATTGTAATATTTATTACTTTGTAGAAAAACATTCATGTATAATTTTTTTTAATTTTGTTTATTATTATATGAATAAAATTAAAAATTACACTATTTTTTTATAAGGTTGAAGTATATTACTTTATATTATCTTAAGTTCACATTTGAAGTTATCACATCATAGTTACATTATCATAAAAATATAAATAAATGATGTAATAATTAATTAATTTCATAATTAAATTTAAATTTTTTATCAAAATATTATATTTCGGACAGTGGCGGTGGTTATCGATTTGTTAATTTTCTTTTTTTTTTTAATCAACGACTATAATTATTTTTTTGGATATTACAACGACAACAGACCGATAATTCGACTTTTATTACCGTCTATGTGTATTGTAGTATATTATGTACACATTATACGTTATTCGTGTTATTGTATAATAACAATGCAAATATGTTGAAAATTATTATTAATATTTAATATACACTGATCGTTTCTAAATAGATTTGTTTTTCAACGTGTACAATGATTGTATCGTAAATTCAAATTTAAACACAGCCATTGCAAATATTTAATGTCGACAAAGTATACTCGTCACACAACACCTACTATACAACAGAGCTGTTACATGCCCGATTTTTAATATATATATATATACTAACCTTGGTTGCTATTCGAGTATTACTTTAATTTATTTTCAGTTTGATGATCTGAAGTCATAACACAATATATGAAAACATTTTATTGAGAGAACTGGAACAAAATATACACGGATATATACTACCGAAACTGTTTTATTAAATGGGTATTTACTATATAGATTATAGGGCATACGGCGGTAATGTAATTTGAAATAATTGAATTCTACCTTGCGATATCATTGTAGTATAGGTGTTCGTTATTCGTACATTTGAATGTTCTACACAATTTACACGTCAGCAGTTCGTCAAACAATTTTCAGACCCGAAGCAAACAACCATTAGGCCACCCATGCGTCTGTAGCTTAAAAATTAAAATGTTTGAAAAAATCGACTAGAGCGAGTACACAGATAATAATGGGTTGCATCGAAGTCCCCGACGACGGGTCAATTCGTTTTAACGTCAAAAAATCCTAACGACATATCAAATTGAAAGTAGTACAAGCTCCGACTTCGGCGATATTTAACGTGACTACCACCAGAATCGCCAGCTGTACAATAATCACGTCCCTAACGAACAGTGTGCGTATCGTTTGTGTCGAACACGGTCCGCGCGGGAGCGTTGTGTTATGTTTTTATGGCTCGCGGGCTGCTCACACCGCACCGGTGGCAGTAAACAAAACCGTGTCCGGTGGCACCGCAAAGCCAATAGAATTCGGCCGCGGACGCCGCCGCAGTGTGCACGGACCTTGAACCGTGTTTGTTATGGATTCCAGGGTTACTCCGTCCGCGTAATTATTATTGTTGTTTCCAATGCAATACGCACCGCCTCGGAACCATACTATTACTATGAAAATAATAATACGATATTCCAAACGGATCTCACAGCGGTGGCGGAGTGTAACTCCGAACGGTGTAGTGGATCGGCTAAAGAGAGAAAAAAAGACTGTACAACAATACACGAGTGAGAGCAGATCGACTCGAATTAGTCGGAATGTTGATTTATGTTTTCACGTGACCGATACAACAGAAAACACCTTCGTTTCAACCATTTATAATAGTTATTGTTTGATGGAGTTAACGATAAATCATTGACCTGTTCGATCGGTCATCACATGGTATTGTCGTCCGTGTTTAAATCGTTATCAACTGCTCTTTACGCACGACAAAATCACTAAAATTGTTTGTCTTATTTGGTCTTATCGTTGTGTACAATAGTGATGATAATGATATTATCGTGGTTTGGCTATGGTCGTCAGTCTGGGAATTCTTCATAGAGAAGGAAATCCGGAATGCATATTATTGTTTCGGTCACACAACTGTGTTGTTACTTCCTGTTGTTGATGGCATCTAATGCGGACTTTAACCGCTCGGAGCGGTGAGAAGGCTTATTTTGTTTTTACGTTATTACGGTATTCGACCAGATCGTTATGGTAGATGATATAAGATATTTGGTCATAATGTACGCGCATTTTAAATGTAATATCAATAATAGTTTCATCCTAGTATTGATCGATTTGTTGGCAACGCGACTTGTTACTGATATAATATGAACAGTAATTTGTCATTTCTTCGTATAAAACGTTATTACTGCAGTAAACACAAGCCCGGCACGGACGTTTATCGATTACGCACAATAGGCGTCTATCGGACCTTTTTACAACAAAACATTTCCGACTTGACAGCATTCAGCAGGTATCATGCAAAACGATATTGTGTTGCTGCTCACTAGTACGTTACGTTTTAGACGTAGATCACTTAGCGAGCTAGTGTCGGTCGGAGCGGTGTCTGTACACGGCGTACACAATGCTATACAAGCAATAGGCCATTGCAGCGCTCCTGGTGAACAACAAGCTCTTCGGATTTCGATCAGATTTTATCCACATCGTCGCAGTCTCGTTCGCCCGCCGTTGCCGGAGCTCCGGCGTTTCATCTAGCGGCCGATAGATGTCGTTTGTGAGCATCGTCGTTTACCGACGCAGCTTCGATGCGGTCGCTAGACGTTTTGGTCAAGTCGTATTCGTCGGATTTCGTGGTCGGTCGTCGAGACGAAGCTAAAAGTTTGCACTGGACGCGGTTTGGACTTACACCGACCCAATCTACTTGCGTCCTTATCTGGCACACCGGTGTGGTGTAAACACCAGCGCACTACACGGCTTCGTTACCAGGCCGATTGTTTATAAGGAACCGAGTGCCGATCAACGATAACTCCGGCTCCCTTTCAAATCGAAAAAATCTTTCGCCTTTTACTAAAGATTTCCGTGGAGGGGAGCACTCAAAGGAGTCTAGAAATGTAATTTTTTAAATAGCCCGACCTTCCGGTTGGGCTTCTGATACTACGAAAATATTTAACACTATTATGTAATATAATATCAATTATTTTGGTCGATACACATTGTCGTACATGTCGCCGTTGACTGTTACCACAACTTCACGGGTGATAACGGTTACCAGGTCTGAGCGTCTATCGTTTGAGAAACACCATACCTGATACCACATTTTCATTTCAGTTATTCTCTCTTATTTTCGATTTATTCTACACGGCGTGTGTAGGTGTTCACTTTGATTTCGGTCTACTGTCGTTGTGGTTTTTCGGGCGAAGTACTACCATTCATTGCGCCTGCGCGCGTCGGCACTCGTCGCGAGTTTATCACGGATTTGTCCAATACCTACTGTGATACGCAAAAAACATACGATACTTAAAAGTTTTCCCGAGAGCCGAGTGTTTATTTAATTACTTCAGATTTCGTCATTTGGTTATTCATCATTTTAACATTAAGCATAAACACATATTTTTTTGATAAGACGTATAGAAGAAAATAATATACACAAGTCATAAGTAGATTGTACTTACTATTTATGGATTAACAATAGCTATATATAATTACAATAATTAAGTTAACACTAATAATAAAAATAATATGTTCATTTAATGCATCACATTTTATGGTAAGTTACACGCGTTCAGTAATTGTTACAAAATAGTAAAGACTAATAAATAATATAAATAAATGTTATGTACTTAATAATAAAATAATTCAAAACTACTTTTCACTCGATTCGCTATAATACACTTAAATATGGAAATGGTGGTCAACTTTATATTTCCAATATGTAATAACTACGTATTAATTTTTAAATGAAATTTATTTAGTATTATTTGTTCTTATATTTTTTCTGTCTTACATTAGTAATGGATTTATAACGTGATGTATAATATTCTTTAACATGTTTAATTAATTGAGTCTTTTAATGGTTGAAGACATCTTGAGTAAGTGTATGTATTCAATTAATTGTCTTTTAATTTTATTTGTAATAATGATATATTTTTTTAAATCTTTATTTGTTGTTAAATTTAAATTAGGTATATATGTAATTTTATAACTCATTTTTACAAAAATAATAAAATAAAAACACATGGGTGCAAATAAAGTTTGAACATTAATATGAATGTGTATATCGGTTAATGATCTAGCTGTTGACGCCATAATGTTATTAATATTATTAAATAATAATAACAATGTTTTAATTTCAAAGTTCAAACCAATACATACATGGAAATTATCATTGTTATCAAAATATCACAGTTGTTTATATGTTCATAGCAACGATGTTAAAATTATGTTTATACGCAACTCTGTCTACTCCACTTAGTTACTTAAGCTTCAAACATTTTATACAGTAGCTGTATCTAGTGTATAATATGATTTAAGATTTATACAATCAAATTTGTTCACTTGATCGGTGGATCGGTGGGTAATTTGTGAAGTGTTTCTAATACTGTAATAAAAACCTTGGTAGATAGAGATAAAAAGAGTATTATTTTTAATAATAAATAAAGTTGTATAAATATATTTAAACAATGAATAACGATGTCCATTAATTTGTTATGATTAAAAAGAAAAAGCGGGCAAGTGGGTACCGCTCTGCTGTACATTAGGGGGTGGGGTGAACCTCGGACTGGGGTAGGTTAAATTTGAATGCAATGATAGGAAAAACGATTCTGAACGGAGATGATTTGTCAGTCTAGGATATATTATATTTAAATATTGTCATACATTCTATTTTGAAACAAATATTTTATTTTTCAATTAAGATGCATTTGCAAAAGTCATGGTTAATCAATTAATTATTAATTTTTATGAATTATACCTACAAAATAGTTTGCAAATATTTATGGTTTTGACGAATTTTTGTCAATATTTGAACTTAAAATGCTAATAAAAAAAAATTGTGCCTATTTATTCTTAAAATTTTTTGATCACTATAAGAATAACTTATGAGGAACTTTGTATTAAATGTTCAAGTATTTTGATTGGGCCAAAAAAAATTTATCGACACTTAAAAAAAAAATTTTCAGAAATATTGAAAATTTCAGTTGTCTATAAATAGCTCAAAAAAAGTCAAAATATTTTGAAAATTAAATTATGTAAAGAAAATTTCAATCTAAATAACTAGTAAAATTGTCAAGTATCTACGACTTATACTTTTTGAATATTAACAAATATTTAAAATCGTTTGAGGATAAATCGTTAACGTTATGCTATTTCGTAAAAATTTAAAATTCAAACGCACTTAAAATTTTTCCTATAATGATGCTTCGAGTTTTTATTATAGCTACTTGAAGGAAAACTTAGGGAAAACATAGTGTAGTATTTTTAATCCTTAGTTATAAACAAAAAAAATTTTATGATTTTTCAACTTCAAAATTACTTACAAATTTTCGCGTTTTCGATAGATTTCGTAAATATTTTAACTATAAACGTTTATAAAAAAAAATTGTGACTAACGATTTTTAATTTTTTTTAGCTATAATAAGAACAACTCATAAGGAACCTTATATTAAATTTTCAAAATTTTTTGGTCATCCAACTTTTTTTATCGATACTTCAAAAAAAAATTCTCATAAAAATTGATAATTAAAGTGGTCTATAAATAACTCAAAAAAAGTCAAAATTTTTTGAAAATTAAACTGTATATAGATAACACTAACATAAACATTTGGTGAAAATTTCAAGTATTTACAGTGATTATTTTTTGAATTACAACCATATAAAAAAATCGATTTGGTCGAAAACTGGTTTTGCATAAAAATTCTCGTTTTTTTGTAATTTTTTTTTTTGTTTTTTTTCGATTTTTTTGAAAACTGTTGGAAAATGTTTACTTTTTACCTCTATAATGCTCCAAGGATATTCACTTTGCCATCGGAAACCACCCTCGAAGTTTGAAATTGAAGTTTTATTTCGACTACTTATGCTGTACACAGACACAAAAAAAAAAACACACATCATTGTAAAATCAATACATTCATCACTCCGTTCAGAAT